TATGGCTATCATTTTTTTGTATTTTTTTAGTCAATATTTTTTTCAAAGGGCTTTTTCCTTTATTTTTTGTTTTTTCTTTTTTGGACAAGATTTTTTTTTTAGTCCAAATCATTTTTTTTAAGCCCGATTTTTTTGGACTTTTTTTTTCTGACATAATTGACTGAACTCAGAGTTATATTCTAAGTTTCTTACATATCCGGTGAAGGAATAAAGTAATAACGTAGTTCGAAACAAATTGAATTTTTTTATTTTTGTTAAACAGTTTATTCTCGTGTTAAGGAGTTTTGTAGAAACTTTATCCTCGTTTCTAGGAGGCTGTAGAAAGTTTATCCTTGTTTCTAGGAGGCTGTAGAAATTTTATCCTCGTTTCGGGAGATTGAAGAAAGTTTATCCTCGTTTCTAGAAGGCTAAAGAAAGTTTATCCTCGTGTACAGGAGATTGCAAAAAGTTTATCCTCATTTTCAGAAATTGAAGAAAGTTTATCCTCGTTTCCAGAAGATTGAAGAAAGTTTATCCTCGTTTCCAGGAGGTTACAGAAAGTTTATCCTCATTTCTAGGAGGCTGTAGAAAGTTTACCCTCGTTTCCATGAGATTGTAGAAAGTTTATCCTCGTTTCCAAGAGTGTGAGGAAAGTTTATCCTCGTTTCCAGGAGATTTTAGAAATTTTATTCTCGTTTCGAGGAGATTATAGAAAGTTTATTCTCATTTCGAGGAGATTATAGAAAGTTTATCCTCGTTTTCAGGAGATTGAAGAAAGTTTATCCTCATTTCCATAAGTGTTGTAAAAAGTTTATCCTCGTTTCCAGGAGTATTGTAGGTATGATTGCCCTCACTATTTGAAGTGTTATATTTCTCGTCGTCTAAGAGATCTTGGGTAGGCGGTTCATATATTCCACTAGTCATCATGCTCAATTCCATATCATGAGCGCGAGTGGCGAGTTCTTAAAAAACTATGGGTTCGGATCCCTTGTAGGATATATTTCAAGCCTCACTGCATTTCTTGAATACACATTTCATGCCGGAAGCCTCAGAAAAATGGTATTTGCAGTTGAGACTTAAACTTCTCCAACATTTGATGTATTCAATTACTGGCTCATCCTTTCATTGGCGGTTGTTGGTGAGTTTGGTCATGCTGACGGTTCTCTTTGTGTTGTAGAACTGGTTCAAGAACTCTACTCCAATTGCTCCCAATTGTCGATGGAACCAGCCTCTAAGTCGATGTACCAGTCGAAGGCGTTGCCTTTTAGTGACCACACAAATTGTTTGACTATGAGGTCTCCATATGTTCCAGCATCGTTGCATGTCTCGACAAAGTGCGCTATATGTTGCTTTGGGTTGCCTTTGCCGTCAAATTGTTGAAACTTTGGTGGTTGATAGCCTGTTGGCATTTTGAGAGCGTTAATCCTTGCAGTATAAGGCTTAGCGTAAGTGCGCGTCAGCCTTGAACTCCCTTCGATTTCTCTTTTGATTGCCCTCTTGATGTATTTGTCAAGTTGGGATATATGGATGAACGAGTTTGATGATCCTTGAAATGGATTTGGTTCCGCCACTTTTTCTTTACCATGACGTTGCTCCACAAATGTTGTTGTTTTATTTTGGACCGCTGGGAAAGATAGTTGCTTTTCGGTTGCATGGCCGGCTTCTTTAGCTTTGTCCAACTTTGTGAGAATTTTTTCGATGAGGGCGTCTTGTTGTTGCATGTGTTGAGACATCGCTTCAACGATTTTGGCCAATGCTGCAAATTGGTTTTCTAAATTTGAAGCATTGATAGCCATCACCGGAGCAGAGCTTGATGCGGTTGAATGACTTGAAATTGGCCGATGAGTAGGTGGCATGAAAGTGCCTTTGAAGGTTTGATCTTCCTTGCAGAGTAGACTTTGATCCGCGGTCTTTGGGTCCTCAATATTTGAAACTTTGGTAGTCATCACCGGAGCAGAGCTTGATGCGGTTGAATGACTTGCAGTTTGTTGAGGGTGGCAGTACTCTTGAAGCTGTCGTCTTCTTCGTAGAGTGGAATTTGCTCTGTGATTTTTGGAGGAATGTCTTCAGAGACCAACAATGCTCTTTTGGTCATGCTCTATGTTGTCATTCCAACTTTTGTCGAAGCACTTGAGTTTTTTGATGCGATGGATGCAACGACTCCTTTGGCGGCAGCGGCTTGAGCAGCTTTCGACGCAACGTTGGACGTCTTGATATTGTAGGAAGCCATTTGTTGTTGAAAGTTCGTCGGAAAGAGAGATGAAATGTAGAGAGGTCCCACTGGGCGTGACAAAAATCCGTGGACAAAAAATTGTATTATTTTTTATAAATACAAAATTTGTACAAATTATATTTTATTTGGATTTAAAGCGGGTCCTTTGATTCTCCTTCCGGGTCGATTTGTTTTCCAACTTGATTTTCGATGGCTTTTTTGATCCGAAGAGATTTGTTCTTCGGTTTGATTTTGCCGGACTTTGGAGGGCTTTGGTCTCCGTGCAGGTGATTTGGTCGTCGGATTTGGATTTGATGTCCTATTTGGACGATCCGAGACTTTGATATTTGATTTGGCTTTTCCGCCTTTTGGAGAGCTTTGGTCTCCGTGTAGGCAATTTGATCATTAGCTTTGGATTTCATGTCTTCTTTAGACGATCCGCGGCTTTGATCTTTGATTTGGCTTTGCCGCCTTTTGGAGGGCTTTAGTCTCCGTGTGGGCGATTCGATCCTCAACTTTGGATTTGATGTCTTCTTTGGACGATCCGAGGCTTTGATATTTGGTTTGGTTTCGCCGCTTTTGAAGGACTCTGGTCTCCGTGTGGGAGATTTGATCATCGGCTTTGGATTTGATGTCTTCTTTGGATGATCTGTGGCTTTAATCTTTGGTTTGTCTTTTCCGCCTTTTGAAGAGCTTCGATCTCCGTATGGGCGATTTGATCATCGGCTTTGAATTTGATATCTTTTTTGGACGATCCGCGGCTTTGATCTTTGGTTTGGCTTTGCCGCCTGTTGAATAGCTTTGGTCTCCGTGAGGGACGATTTGATCATCGGCTTTGGAGTTGATGTCTTCTTTGGACGATCCGCGATTTGATCTTTGCTTTGGATTTGCAGCCTTTCGGAGGGCTTTGGTCTCCATGTTGGCGATTTGATCATTGGCTTTGGATTTGATGTTGTCTTTAAACGATCTGTGGCTTTGATCTTTGGTTTGCCTTTCCGCCTTTTGAAGAGTTTCTGTCTCCATGCGGGCGATTTGATCGTCGGCTTTGGATTTGATGTCTTCTTTGGATGATACGCGGCTTTGATCTTTGGTTTGTCTTTTCCGCCTTTTGGAGAGCTTCGGTCTCCGTGTGGGCAATTCGATCGTCGGCTTTGGATTTGATGTCTTCTTTAGACGATCCGCGGCTTTGATGTTTGAGGAGGTGGATTTGGTTCTCAATAACACTTTTGACGGCGTGTTCCTTTAACTTTTGGATTGAAGAGGGTCTGGTTGATGCTTTTGACGAAGAACGCGACGTACACCTTGAAGCTTTGGGATGAACTTTAGATGCTTTTCCTTGTCTTTGACGAATTTCTCAACGGCTTTGGGAGCTTTGATCCTTCCTCCGGCTCGGACATACCACGAAGAACGTTAACTTCATCGATTTGTCAACCAATATTGGATCATTTGTTCAAATCAATGACGTTCGAAGAAGAACGCTTCAAAGGACACGAAGAACATGAAGAACAACACAAAGAGAGTCTAGAGACTTACTCTTTTACTTGAATCCTCGATGTAACTTCGGTGTTTTGAATGAACTGGCCATGGCTCCTATTTATAGGGGAGGGGTAGCCTCGGCTTCCTTTTTGAATGGTGCCACATGGCGCGTCTTGATTAATTGCACGCTTTCCTTTCTCGTCAAGATATTTATATAATTGTCTTTTTCGGAAAATATTAATTTATATACTTTATTTATTAACAAGATTAATTTATTTTGCTGTCAAATTTATTATGGCTCTATTTATGCACATAATATTTGTACGATATCTTCCATTTTAAGCAGATTTTTGCATTAATAGTTGATATTTATTGTACAAAAATTAACATATGTGCATAATTAAATATCATATATTTATTTTATTGAAATTTTATTTTATTCCAAAATGCATAATATTTAATTGAATTTCGACATTTATTTTTTAATGCCTACGTGTACTATTTATTTAATTTTTAATTTATTATATGGTAATGGAAGGGGGAATTGGTGGTTCAAGATGGTTTGATTTTTCTCAAAAATTATTACATAATATATTATATTATATATAAATAAACAACATAAATAATACATAATATAATATTACACATAAATATTACAATATAAAATTAAAAGAAAATACAATTACAAATATTAAAAAGCAACAATAATTAAATTATTAGAATAAAAATAATTTATTATTATTATTATTAAAATTGCCCACATGGTATAATTTGAATTTATTGAAAAACGCATTGTTTGCTTTTTTGCAAATAGATTTTTAATTATAGTATTATATTAATTTATAGTGTAAAGATAAAAATATCCTATTGTATAATATAAAAGTAATAATACATAAAAATATTCTATTGTATAAAATATAAAAATAATAATATTTATGTAATATAGTTAGAAATTGTAAAAATATTAATTATGTTAGGTTGATATTACAATTGCTAAATTAGAAAATATTACAATTGTTTTAAAATGAAACATAATAGAAAATATTTAAGGAGGGGCAAAGGGAGTATTATTTTTCTGCAATTCTTTCTCTATAGCAAATATATTCTTATCAATAATAATTTTTTTAAAAAATCATAGCATTAAATATTTTATTCAGTAAAAATCATTTTTAGTTCTATTTAATATTATAATTATCAATTTTCGTCCTATTCAAGAAAAAATTTATCAATTTTAGTCACACAACAAACAAAATACTTAACATAAAAGAACACTTAAACTAAAATCTCTGAACAAAATATGTTGTTCCCAAACACATAAATTATGGCAAAAGTGTAAAGACACAAATCCAATGTGCACACACCTTAACAAGTAACAATGTTCATCAATCATCAATTCAAGAACTCAATAATATAGATATGTATGTATATATATATAAGCTGCATAATCATCCACAGATTCAAATTTAGAACTTTACAATACACAGTTGATCATCATTCCATGAAACAGTTATGCATCCACAAGAACCTTCATCTCCAGGCTTCCGTTCGTCCCGCGCGTGAATTCTCGTGCCGGATCGCGCTAACTTCCTCGTTGGATCGAAGATTATGCTTTCTCGACCCTTTCTTGACGCCATTTGCATCACTCGACTGCCCGGTTTTCGCCCTGTGGATTCTCAGCAGACTTCTTCCACTTGACTTGTGAGAAGCATTCCGATTTGTCGTGTCAGCTGAACAAGTATGAGTCTCGTCGTCTATTTCAGGCTTGGACAAAGGAGGGTCAGCTGTCCGAGGTTGTTCGGCTACACTGACTGCATCATCATTGTCGTCGTCGTCATTGTCATTGTCATTGTCATCACTTGCTTCGTCAGCTTCTGCTTTCGTTGGCTTCAAAACACTGCAATGTCCGTCGTCATCCAATGGCTCCTCAGACTGCGTCGTTGGAGGAGCTTCCAAAACAGAATCTTCTCGTTCTTTTAGTGTTTTGACGATGAGGGTCTTGAGAAAGTTCATCACTTGGACAGCGTACATCAGCGCCGTTAGAGGATCCGACATTTGGCTCATGTTGGGGGCGAAGACCATGGCGACGTTGCGCGCGTTCATCTTGTTCATGTTTTCCAGCTGGGCAACATCAGCCATCAGATTGATTGCCCAATCCAGCAGTGCTGCTTCTGTCGGGGGAAGCTGACGGACGAGATGAGTGCACTCGTCCTCTGATTGCGCCTGCATTACTTGCTCCGGCGACAGCGAATCCAATATCCCTCTTGGGAGTTCTCTAAACCAAGCCTACAGAAGAATCAAACCATCAGGATCCATGAAAAAAAAAAGACAAAAATTCGATTCAAGAACTAAAATTAACTACTGAATTTGGGCAAGCAAACTTAGGATCATCTTACGAAGAGGCCAACATACGATACCTTTATTAGACCTGCTAAGCAATGGACATCGATATTATCTGGAATCAATCCATTGTTCAGCTGTTCCCTGACAAATGTTTCCTGTCCGTTCTCCGGATTGATTCTGAAGATGCCTTCAGCCTGTGAATTCGAATCAAAACCTCTAGTAAATGCATAATCAAGCACTTCCACATATATGGTTCATCAAATATGTTTTTTCACAGAAAACATATATGGAAGATGGTGTTACCTGCAAGCCGCCTTGTGAATACAATCGACGTTGCATCATCAACAGTATCGTAGGCACGCAGTTACCTCTGGAGTCGAACGAAAGGTGCATGGACTCTGTTGAAACTCCAAAGACTCTTGTGCTGAAAAAAATGGAGGTATAAAGACAATGAAGCCAATGTGGAGTCATTAATTACAGCAAGGGCCAAAAGCAAAACTTTATGCAGGACTAAAATCCATAAGAACAAACGAGTTTTATTCTGTTGTATAAATTTTTGTTCCTAAACATTTTCAACAGATGCAACAGTTAAGATCTCAAAGAAGCAGCAACCAACTTGAGAACAAAAACATAAAAACAAAATTACCACAAACATAAAAAGGGAGGCCAAGAAAGCAATTGAACAAATACTGACCTTGCACTGGGAGGCCTTCTGGGGACTTCAGGTTCAAACTCAACAGGGAGGCCAAGAAAGCCATTGAATCTATCATAAGTGACATGAGCCACATGCCTCACATTTGTGGGAGATCCAATTTCCATGAGCTGCTGCTGCTGCTGCTGCGGCACTTGCTCCTCAACCCCACCCACACTTGTGCACCCCACCAAAGATTTCCTCAAGACAGTGGAGAAAACATCAAAAACATTAATTTGAACCCCTCCAAGTTGTGAAGCGTTTCTGAAACCTCTCCTGTAAAGAGCTACAGGGCTTCTCCTAATAAGGGGGCCATGGCTGAAGAAGGTCTGTTGGGATAGCCCATCATTGGGTGAGTTGGCAGAACTTGAAGGGGAAGGCAAATGGTGTGGAGAGTGGAGGATTTCGGTCATTGTTTTTTCTGGGAGCCCTTTAAAAATGGAGAGTGAGGGTGGGAATTGGGATGAGGATGGGGGTTTGTGTGTTCTTGAAGATTGGGTGTTTTTAGGGAGGGGGAGAAGGGAGTTTGGTGGGGAGAGGTTTTTTGTTTTAGTTTTGGTTGTTTTTTTAGTGTGATTAGTAATGATGGGTTGGTGGGGATTAAGGTGCAATTTGTGGGAAGAATTTGAGGATGGGGAGGATTTAAGGTTGAGTGGAGTTTGATTCAAGCAAAGGTTTGGAGAAGGTGAGACTTGGACATCATGATTCACATCCCTTTATGCCACTTTCTCCTAATCCCCCCATTTGCTTTTCTTGAAACCATAACGTATAGTTTGCTCTTTCTAAGCTGGGGCGGTAGCTTTTAGAGAGAGAGAAAAGAGAGAGAGAGGGGGGGGGGGGGGGGGGGGGAGGGGGAGGAGCAGTTAAAATTGGAGTTTAGAGTTGATCTAAAATCTCAAGATCCAAGATTCTTGGGGAGGCTAAGGATCTCAACCTCCAAGATGAATCCACACCATCAACACAAGTAGACGAGACGTGTAGATCCACCCTGGAGTTGGGATCCCGGGACCCCTCAAGAAATAGGTTAATAGCATAATGAAACAATAAAGAAAACAAATGCATCTAAATCATGGAGCCCTAACTAAAACATATCATGCAAGGGAGATATTAAGGGATCTCATATATCATATCATGTTCATGTTCTTGAGAGGGCACATGAAACCAGAGATGGGATGAGGCTGGAATTGAGGGTGTGATGTGGGTTGCACTTACACAGCATCCACAAAACACAAGGGAATGACAGGCAGGCAAGATTGCCCCAAAACCAGGCACTATTATTTTAATCCAACGCACATAATGCCAACAATGACAGGTTATCTTGTTGCCTGGAGCCACCAGCTGCAACTTCACTGTCCAATTCCCCAATTGATTACAAAAAGAAACAAAAACCAGCAAGAGTGGTCCCCCTTGGAGGGAGCCATTGTTCACTGATTAGGCTGAGTTATAGCATCACCTATATATGCATCAAAATCTCAAAAACAATATATTTAATTTAATATTCATGCTGCATAGGATCATCAAAGTGAAGTGAAGAGTGTACTTACAGATCAGATACATACATTCCTGTATAGGTCTGCATTGATTTCTTGTAGACCATGGGTGCATTGTTTGGCCGATTCAGTGTGTGTGATGGCAAAAGGGTAGTTCAGAAAACACTTTATGGAGCCTCGGAGAAATTAATTCACATATTATGGGAATGTTAGAATCATTAAGATTAAAGGGCACAGTCAGAAAGTTAGAAAAATTAAAGAGATAAAGTGGAATGGAGTTGCTGGAAAACATATAAAATTCAGAAGAAAAAGCCAAAGGAATGAATCCCTTTCTTCTACCAAACATGTGGGAATATTTGGCAGATTAGTATTTGGGATTTTCCCCGGCATGTGTGTCATCAAGGATGATTAAATGACTTGTGAAGTATCTTGTAATAATGCGATATAAAGAAAGTTATTCTAATACAAGAAAGGGGAACAAAAACAAAAAAATGTACAAGGAAAAAGGACACACTTAAAATATTATTCTTGGATCTATGGTTAGCTCAAAGACACACATGAAAAGGATTTAATAGCTTATTACCGTTGTGAGATGTAAAACTAAACACTAAGTAATTTGATGCTTCGTTCAAATAAAGAAAAAGCATCAATACTAACTGCATAAATGTAATGAGACAGTTAACAAAACTAAAATAATGCTAGGGAGGCAGGGAACAGAGAAAACAACATTGACCATTAGGAAGCAATCGTTGAAGAAACTACGTATTATTCTGAGGGATTTCAACTGATCTAGCACTTTCGGTGAAGTGTTTGATAATATTGGAATAACGATAAGCATCAATAATACAGTGTATCGCCTTGAATTAGAATGAGAGCACATGTACATACACATACATACATATTGTGCTCTAGTAACTCGCTTGAGGGCTTCAACAACGGCAACACTGATGGCCTGCAATGCAAGCAAATAGATTATTGTAAGCTTGACCTTTGCAAGCTGATAGAAATTGAAAGTTCTTGCAGCCACCAAGAATCGAAAAGACGGACAACTACGTTCATGAACTCATCCAAACACCAAACGCCCCAACCACCGTCCGATTTACATTAAGTTTTATTGAATTACAACAAAAGAAAATGAATTAAATACGGTAGATGTAGGGAATGTGAGTTTCTGGAAACTGCAGTTTATACCTTTGAAAGCTTTAAATGTAATATATCCTTTAGCCAATATATATATTCATCACCAAATAAAATCCAAAGCACAAAAACACCTTGAAAATGGTTTTACCTTAGATATATACATATGAAAGACTAAACTTATCACTCATCCTATATATTATTATACAGAATTGATCACTACATAAATTTATTTAAAGCTACATGAGAAAGGACTAGCCCGAAGGGAAATAGATGACTATAAAAGTGGAATATCATGAGTGTTCATAAAATGATTTTACTCATCACCCTCAATACAGTATCTACTAATAAGCTAACTGGAAAGCTTCAAAGCGGTGAAGGAATCATCCACACAAATAGAAAATAAAGAACCATATAATTCCTTCAATAACAAATCATCATTGACGAAATGATTCATGCCAAATAAGTTATCGTATGTTTGCTTATATTCTCAATCTCATTTTCACATACTACAATCAATTGTAAAATATATTTTCTCACAACATAGAAACATAAAATCCAAAACTTATAGTTTCCATCAAAACATCACATGCAATGCTTGTTTTTCATATAAAAAATTCACATCCAAAAACACTATTAAAGCGCGGTATGGCTTCGAACAATGACTGCTACCAGACTGTTTCACTTGTATAGGAACACCAAACTAGTTCGTGGTCCAACAATTAGTTACACTTTAAACCAAATCCTCCCCACATAGACAATAGACAACCAGAACTAGAATAACACTTGTCAAACTAAAGTTGCACAGGTCCATGTCCCTTATATTGAATAACAAGTTCTTTAGAGACACATTTAATATCACGAATGGATTGCAATACGAATCAATTAGGTATGCCTACTTTAGCAACCCCTTAACTTATTTCAGAGTCTCAACTTATCTTGGGTTTTAATCCATTATAAAGAACATGTAATAAGGCTGAATACATGGATTATGCATCCTACCCCATAAAATAATCATATTCAGAAAGATTTGATTCGGCAAAGGAAAAAAATCTGAGAAAAATACTAACTTCTGACCATAAAATAATTCTTTCGACCATTCAGCATAGCACACAAAATCATGCTCAGAAACAATTTCGACTTTCACATCCACATTATTTGATCACATTTATCAACAGACCACTACATTCTAGAAAACTTGAAGGCAAGTTAGCAATCAAAACAGTATGTCAAAAATATGCACCCACAACTTATCTGTCGAATCGAACTTTGTACTTAAGTTACAATGGTAAGAAAGGGTTGTTGAACATTTGCATCTGCAACTCATCCCTTGATCCTTTTGATGGTGGAACCTCTTTGAACCGTTGCTTATTTGAGCCTCTCTATCACTCCATTGTTATAGAACCAGTCCACCAAACCTCTGTTCTCTGCAACATGTTCATCATTAGGACTACACAATATAATACAATACAATGCAGCTCAGCTCAGCTCAAGATATCTAGGCAACAGTAAGTTAAGTGCAAAATACTAAAACGATGATATATAGCAGCAAAATGTCACCAACAGAGTGAGGCGAAAACAAATCAATGAAATTCAATAAAAGTATCCAACAAAATAAGTATATAACATTTACATCGTATATACATATGAATCCCAAGTTAAAACAGATGAAATCAGGCCTGGCAAAGGAAATAGCAAAGTAGTAATATATCCAGAACTAATTCCTTCGATGTAAGTCATTCATTTATTTTTTTCATGGCAAAATTTAGTTAGAAATTCCTTCTCTTACATTTGACTGAATGATTAAGTGGGCACTTAGCGGCTGCGGTTCCACAAAAAAGAAAAAAACCCAGGTTACATATATTTAGAACAAATTTTATACAAATGATGAGCAAAATTTCCAAAGACACTTTGATCACCGAAGAAGAATTTAATCTCTGATATTGGCATCGAAAATGATAACCATTGATAGTCAAATTGAGTTTCCGATTTTGCCGGTTCAGATGATCAGATCTGAACCTGTAGTTGTGTGATCGTTTTCAACAACGGAACAAGGAAACGCACGCACCGTCTGGATGTATGTCCGATTGAAGAGCGACTGTAAATTCTGCATACCCGACTGTGGACTAGGAATGTTGGATTGACGATTCCTTCCGAAGGCCCCGATGATATACAGACAGTGAAAGGCTGAAGTGAAAGCCCGATTCTAATGCCCAGACGCTATGCTGGATTTGCGTCCAACTCTCTTCTTTCACTTTAATCCAAATATAATGTCAGTTTTTCCATTTATGTCTTTACATATTTTTTATGTCATATTTATTTTTATTTATTTATTTATTTTTTGTATAATTTATAATTAATTTGTATTATCTTAATTTTAATTTATAAATATTTATATTATATTATAATTAATTTTACTCATATTTTCAATTATTTACTAATCACATCCTTATTAAATTCTTATTTTTACACAATTTAGGAACTCAAAAATTATATATTTTTAATGTATCCATTATTTTTTCTAGTAAACTAAAAATAATAATATGATATTTTGATATTTAAATATAATTAATAGATATTTTGGAAAACGAATAAAAATACTAAAAAAGATACATTGAGTTTATATTTAAACAATATAATTTCTTGTAAATGTAATATTAAAAAAATATATTGTATACACATATTAAGATAATATATATAATATATACACTTTATCAATTTACCAAAAAAATTAATAATTAACATAAAATATTATTTTTTATATTATTGTCACAATTCTTTATATTTAATATAAAAACAAATTCATCCAAACTGCATAATAATTAGACATAGGGAATATTAGTTAATAAAAATATATACCGGCATATTTATAATTGATGTAAAAATTTAAAATAATTTTAATATTAATATATTATAATATGATTAGCATTACCTGACTTGCCTTATCGATCTAATTTGCGGGCTATTATGTTCGGACGAATCGATCGTAGATGAATACTAAGGTTCCCACATCATAAATAAAAAATTAAATAAACAAAGGCAAAAATAATAAAAATCACGTGTAACTAACTATTATAGAGAAAATATTTTTTTATAAAATATTTTTTTTAAAAAAAATACTGTTTAAATTAAAATTTAAATAAATTGTTTATATTTACTTCTAAACCAAAAAAAAATCAAAATTTATTATTGTCGATCAAAATTTTTTTGGCGGCTTAGCAAATTGAGCTGATAAAAATTTAATGGTCCTTTGACTTCAAAGAATGAATCCGAAACCGTGTTGCGTTGTCCGAATAAACCAACGAATGAATTAGAGTAAATTAAACACTGAAAATTTTTAGAAATAAAGATGACACAAAGTGCTATTGGAATTGAAAAATGAAATAAAAAAAACAAAGACTGAAATTTGGGTGTGTTTGTTTGGGTGAATTTTGCCTCAAATATAATATTCATCCAATTTTTTCATCCAAAAAATATTAAATCAAACACCTATTTCTTATTTTTTATATTATACAAAAAATTAATTTTACATTTAAAATATCACATCAACACTTATTTATATCACATCAACACCTATTTATATCACATCATACAACTATTCAAATTCAAAATTTTTACTATTCAAATCTCAACTCAAAATCCAAACCTCCAAACAAACACACCCAAATAAATTTAAAAGTAATTTAATGCATTATGAAAATAAACGGATGATTGTTATATTATCAAGTCTTTATTTGTAGACGATAGTCTAGTGAGCCCATTTTTATGGGATCGAAGTTATTCCGACTGTTGACTTTGATATATATATATACATAGTTGCATTGTTTTACTGTTTGCATGCCATGATACTTATTTGTGGATAATGCGAGGTTACATTTTGTTTTTTTATCGTGACAAATTTTATGTTTACTTCTCAAAATAGATTTTCTTTTTAATTTTTTTTATTTTAGATTGCTCTAGAAACATATTTAATTCAACTATGCATGACACTTTTATGATAAGGGACGTCTTAAGATATAAAAAGACAGACTGATTGAGTGAACTTGTTATTATATATTTTATTTAAATTAGTAACAGGAAAAACCTACTTGTTAGGAACGCATTTTTGTAAATATTCAGAATTTGGTTTGCGAAAGCTAATAAAATTTATAGTTCATTTTAACTTTAACATTGTATTGTATGTCACGGACCGAAACATTGGCCGAGGATTGCCGAGGAGAATTCCAAGAAGCGCCACGGAGGGGCCCGCGGCGCGCAAACACAAAAAGGCTAACTAATACCCTTTCGAGACGTTCTGGAACCTTCCGAAGTGTTCTGGAATCTTCTGGAATATTCTGGAACATTTTAGAAATACCAAGATCGCCTATTTGACCAAGTTGGTATTTATGCATTAGACTTAGTTTATCCATATTTCCTTATTTAGCTATCTTTATTTGTATCTCGTATAGATATAGTCTATTCGAGTGTGGATATGCTTTGGCCTATGTTAGACCCGGTCCGTTAGAGTGTCTATATATATGGGAGAACCTCTCAGTTGTACTTCACTTCACTTTTCAGAGAGCTAATATACACTCTTCTTTGTCGGGTGCATTTTGTGGTGTTCTTGCTTTCTAGCTTAGAGTGGAGTCGTGTACGAGGCTATAGCGAGTTTCTCGTGAGCGTTGAGGAATTGCTAAGCCGATAGGAAGGTGTTCGAGGAGGAACAATCTGGCCCGTTACAAGTGGTATCAGAGCTGCGTTTAAGGGATGGTGACCGACAAGTTTAATGTTGAGTTCGATGTTGAGAACCAGGTCCCGAGGCGAAGCCGGAGGAACGCGAGGGACTAGTCTGCAGATATCATGGGATCATTTGAGAATAGGTTGGCTAGGGTGAAGCTGTAACATCCCAGCCGGCTCAAACCGGAGTGTCACCACCACGTCACACCAGGAGGCTCATTCATCAACCGATGAACCCTACATTGTGGTGCTAAGGCTAAAATCAATGAATACAAACAACTAAATAGAGATTTAGAATTAAAGCGCACCGGCTTATCATTTAAATAAATAAGGTTCAAGTCAAAAGCATAAGTCGGAAATTAGTTCAAAATGCATTAGTTTTTAAACATAATTAATGGATTTCAAAAGCATTGTAGAAGATAAAGTAGTTCTAGTTTCCCCCGATGGATCATATGACGTGAATGCATCATTTAGGTATAACGGAAACACCATTGCCTACAAAAAGGTTTGTAGAAAGAGGGTCAACACAACGGTTGAGTAAGCGCAATTAATCGAAGATAAATCAATACAGTATAATGCCACAAAATCATTTGAAGAAGGTAATTTGAATAAGATGACACATATCACATAAAGATAACTCACACACACGAGTCTTTTAGCGCCTCAATTATATCTCTTTTTCATTCTCAAATAATAATGATGAGCACATCCCGAAGAAAACTCCACTAGGCCTTAATCAGGGCCAGCTCGACCCAATTTTCCAACTTTCACATCACATAGTTACACATAACAAGCATAGGTACACAATCCTCAAGGAAAGCTCCACAATATGTACATAAGAGTTCGAAGTCCAAATGTACACGAAAGTTAATTTATTTATTAGTTTGCTAGGGGCGCCAAACGGCTCACAACCCTCTAGTCTCCAATATAATATACCAAGAGGGGATTGTACGCAATTCATCCCTCCATCATGGATGGCGGTCTAAAGACCTTTTCATCGTGAATAATGGGCACCTCGGAATCACCCAAAAAGGGAACCCGCCATCTTGATCCCTCAACCTAGCCCATTTGGGATCTAGTTCAAGATTAGCTAGTTATCCTAAAATACTGGTATACCTTCACGTGTTTGCAAGACACAGAGGTGGAAGGCTATGCCTTATCATCCAAACAATCGACGAGTTGATCGGGCTCGATGGGTAATTTCAATTACCAATTTGACCAAATACTCAACATGCTCTTAAGCAAATTTCAAAAAGAGTGTTTTAAACTCAAAATATTCCAATTGTCAATATTTAAACAATCAAAAGTAGGATATTAGACCCAACAAGTTTGCTATAATCTCTTTATTTCGCCAAATAAACATTTGAATGATATGTCAATCACAATAGGCATGGTCTAACTCCAAAAAATCATAATATTTAAATATAATCGCAAATATTTTTCCAAAAATCATAACTAGGTTAGGGCAAAACTAGGGTTTTAAACCCATCCCATAAATTGTACGATTTTTAATTTAAAATACAATAATAATCTTCACATAAGCCTTAGATGGCATTATAATCAACTTTCTAGAAGAAATTGACAAAACCTAACACTTTTAGGGCAAACCCATTTGACAATAATTTTGAAAAAATATCAATAGAAGGGGTTTAGGGATTAGAACATATCATCTATCTAAGATTAATCTCACTTACCTTAAGAGAAAGAGACCTAAAGGAAGAGTTTTGGAGAAAAAAAAAAAATTCCAAGGAAGAAGAAGGGGGCTGGACGGCGATCTGCGAACCACGTATCTGCGAACTCGAGGGCAGTGAGTTGTGCAATGGGATACTTGTTGCGATCGATGCCGAGAGGGAGGAGTCTCCAAAACGGGAACTGACAACGATGGAGCTTACCGAGACGCTGGTCACTCTGAATGAGACAGTGGCAGCGTGCAAGGTCCAGATCGCGATGCTGGAGAAAGCCAAGGTTGCGAAACCTTTGAGTATTCAAGATAAGTTGGCAATGTTAAGGGTAGCACTAGCCGAACTCCAAACGAGGAGATAGATTAGGGTTGCCTCGGCAGCCCCAAAGAGGAATACACCGTGCCTGGAGAGTTATGCCAGGGAGTGAAAGACTCGAGTTGTGGATGATTTTCTCTATGATATGGAGAAATACCTCGAGGATTCTAACATCATGGGAGATTAAGCCAAAATCCAAACGGCATCTCGGTTCCTAAAGGGCTTGGCCCATACATGGTGGAGGCGGTATAAGGGGATGCATGGAAATTAGGGAGGCATCACGACTTGGAGAATATTCAAGTATGAACTTAAGGCAGAATTTGCACCGGCCGATGCAGAGGAGGAGGCATGGTGTACAATTCGTCGGCTGGAGCATCGAGAGGGTCACTTGAAGGAGTACATCGAGAAGTTCTCCAATCTATTTTTGGAGGTACCAGATATGTCCCCTAAGGAGGCATTGTTTACATTCTTGAAGGGCCTGAGGCCGTGGGCTAAGTTGAGGATTAAGGAGAAGC